TCTTGAAAAGCCTGAAGCAGATACCAGGGAAACTTTGCAGGTGTGATTTCTCTCCCTTATAGACCTATAATCAGACATTCTTTTACACCTGGTCAAACACTGACTTGCAGAGATTGCTTGCTCAAAGTCGGCAACCCTGAAGATTAGTGATAACACCTTACCCTCAGGTCACATTAGAAAGGTTAGGTAATGCATGGGTGAAATCACTGGGAAAAACTTCTATGCAAAGATAGTATTTCATCACTATGAATTATGAAAATATTTTATCTTTAATAACACTATAATTAGAGATATATCAGCTCCTTTCATCACCCACTCTCTTAACTCCTGGGAGATAATTATCTTGAAGAGTATTAGACTGTCCTTCCACTAACAAACCAAAACAGCCAACTGAGGCAATCAAAAGGAAGATTTCACAGAAATCAACCCCATGTTCTCCACATTTACTCCTTCTGTGCACTTCATTGCCTTCATTGCCCTCCTCACTTTGGAAGGAAATACCCATCCCTGCACAGATTAGGACACATGCACTCTAAGTTGGGTTCCATGTACCTGAGATGCTTTGCAAGTACAGCGCATGACGGGGAAAGTCTTGTCATTTGTTAATTTGTTATTGGGTCTGAATGGTGGGTAGGCACTCCAAAAATGGATTTATTATTTTTCTGTTGCTATGGTAAAATACCATGACAAAAACCACCTGAGGAAGAAATGGGTTATTCTGACTCACAGTTCCAGAGAGACAGAGTCCATCATGGTAGAAAAGGCATGGCAATGGTCAGGGGGAAACATGGCAAAAATAGCAGGAGCTGGCTAATCACAGCTTCATCACAAAGAGGAAGCAGAATGAGACAACAGGAGTGAGGGAAGACTAGAGTCTCTCAAAGCCCACCACCTATCATGTCCTGCCCTCAACAAGGCTTCATCTCCTTGAGGTTCCATAACCTGACCAAACAGCTCTACCATCTGGAGACCATGTGTTCAAACCCATGAGCCTCTCTGGGACATTTCTCAATCAACCCACAGCAGTGAGCCATAAAGAATAAATGAACAGTTAGTAGATTAATGAATACACAAAAGAACAAATAATATTTCCCAACTTGTTAACATGTCATTTCATGACTTCCCAATATCCACAATTAAATATCTACCTGATAACTTATACAAAACTTGTGTTTAATGAGCTGGACACTCAGCTCAGTTGAGTGTGCATTGAAACTTGTCGCAGTTTTTAAAAGCTTTGGCTATCTGATGCTGTTGCTGCTAGATGAAATGATAAAACTCCCAGTAGTCTGACTTGGTAGCCAGCCCCAATCAGGAAAATTACTCATGTATTTGAAAGCTGTTTGGCAGTAAAAGTCCTGTATATTAAATTCTAAATCCACTTAATTAACTTCTCTAATCTTCATTAAATAAAGCTCAGTCCACTTTGATGGAAATATGTAATAAAAACAACCTCTCTGGCAGCTCATCTGGTAATGTGTTAAGTCTTGAGCAGAAGATTCTGCCCTAGGGCCCTGTCCAGCACACTGACTCATTTATCTATACCTTAGTCTGGTCCTTTAATCACCTAGGAATAACTTCTGCACTTATCGTTGTTTTCTCTGCATATCCAAATCCTTCCTTCTCCACTGGAACAGAACCCTGAAAAGAAGTGAAGTCAGAGTCGTCATTGTAACAGCTCCAAATACTATCAGAACTCTTCCAATATCAACCAAAGCAACTTCAATTGAAGCAACACAAACGTGACTCCAACTAGTTTAAACTTGAAAAGGAAGATATTGGTCCGTGTCAATAGAATATTGCTTAATAGCTGAATGCAGAGTAGTTGGAACAATGCTTTCTTCTATTTCTTAGTTCAGTATTACCTTTGTTCTCAAGCAAGAATTACTCACCTGCAAAGGGGCAGCTATTCTCCCAGACAGTGTCCTCAACTGTAAAGTCTCGAAGGGTAAAATAAAAACAAAGTAATTGTGCCACATTTCATCCCTCTGCTAAAGCTTGTGATTTATGTCTTGAGGCATACATGCCTGAAGACAGAAGGTGGTGAATGGGTTGAACATACTGGGGCAGGCTGGAGGGAAAAAGTTCTCCAAATAGATCTCTAATGGTAAAAGAAAACAAACCAATGCTGTCTGCTGTCCTGGTTTCTCTCCTGTTAGCATGTGACATAGCCAAAATAATAGAAAGAAGAAGACCCAACATGGTTAAAATGGATGACAAAGAAATAGATGAATTTTGATTTTTGTTTTTTTAAATTGCTTTTTAAAGGTATATAAACTATGAGTATTATTTTAAGTGTTGTGATTACTTTCATTTCTTTTGTTGGATTAATGAGCAAGTATGTTCAGCGTCTAGCATGAGCAAATCATTCTTTCCAAGAGTTCTAAGAGAGCTGGAATATAGTTCAGGGGTAGTGCATTTGCCTAGCATGTGCAAGGCCTTCAGTTCAGTCCTCGGTATCAGAAAAATAGAGTGTTGAGAACAAATGAAATGAAGAAAGAGCTTAGGTGCTACTTTGTGATGTGATGTCCCACGGGGAGAATAAAGAAGCAGCGACTTAGATGCTGCCATGAGAGTTATAAATTCCTTCAGCCACGGATTATGATCACTTAAAAGTCACCAGTTATAATTGCCCATGTCTTTCCTCCTAGTTCCTCTCCTCCAGAGGAGAAACCAAACCTTTTAAACATAAAAATATAACTTTAACAGGCTAAAGAACACATCTACATATGAATATATAATCATTTACATTTATGTGTGTTTATACGCTATACCACTGTAAGACACAAACTGATAAATGTAATCTTTGAAAATTTTAAATCAGCCACAGGAAATCAACAGGTAAATTTTTTTTTAAATTTCAATATATACTATAATTCTTTTTTAATATATAAGAAAATACACCAGGAGCTAGAAAGATGACTCAGGGATTAAGAGTACTGGCTGCTGTCCCAGAAAACAAGGGTTCAGTTCCCAGCACCCACATCACAGCTCGCAACCATCTATAATTCTAGTTCCAGGGAATCCAGTGCTATTTTCTCGATGTGGAAGGCACCTGGCACACAGACAGTGCCCAGATGCACATGCAGGCAATATACCCGTATACATTAAGAAAAAAAAACAAAGCAAGTTTTGTTTTATTGATCAGCATGAAACATTAAAAAGCAGCTCAGAGCTCAATAGAAATAGGTTTTATAATATGAAAAATTCGTAGCCCCACCAAATAATTAAATAAATACAAGCAAACTTTTCAATGCCTAGTCAAAAACTCAGACAACAATTTTTACCCAGCAAACTGAAAAGGAGTGGACCAGACAATGCTTAGTGGCCTCCAGTTATACGAAAGTAGGCATCTTTCTGCAGGGCTGGAGGCCACACAAAGAACTGAAACTATTTCTCTAGGAGAGCTTGGTACTACCTTTCAAAAAGATTGAGAAATTCTGTCTTTGAAAGAGAAATGCTGTTACAAAGGAACTTTTCCTTCAGAACCATACCTACCTGTGGAGAGAGAGCAGACAGATGAACATTGACTTATACACTTTTTGTTATAACAAAATCTTGAAAGAACATTCGTGATCATTATCTTAGTTACTCTTCTGTTGCTAGGAAGAGACACCGTGGCCAAGAAAACTAATAAGAGTTTATTCTGTGGCTTGCTTACAGTTTCGAAGGATGAGTAGGGTCCAGTAACCATCATAGTAGAGACATGGCGGCAGACAGGATGCTGGAGCAGTAACTGAGAGCTTACATGCTGAGACAACAGCTGCAAGGCAGAAAAACAGAGAGTTAACTGGAAATGCGGTGAGCTTTTGACTCTCAAAGCCCACTCCCAGTGACACACCTCTCCCAGCAAGGCCACACCTCCTAACCCTTCCCAAACAGTTCACCAATGGTGGAATAAGTATTCAAACATGTGATCCTATGGGAGCCAGTCTCATCCAAATCACCACTGTTGTCAATAATTAAAGACATCAAATGAGTTTAATAAGTTATGATGGAGCATACCTGGAGACCTGAAGGAAAGATCTATGTGCATCTGTGGTGATTCCATTCCTATAAATGACACCTATGCATCTGTATGCATTTGTACTGTTTGTGTATGGAGTATTCATGGAAAGATATAAAAGACTATGTTGATAAGGAATTCTTTATGTCAGGGGAAAGGGTCAAAGACCTGGGAATGACTTCCATTATATTGCGTACATTTGTATTAAATTATTTGATTCTTTAAAAATAAAACTATGTACTTACTTTTAAAGAGAAAGATTGATTTTACTTTTTAATCAAAAGACATATTGATTGTAAAATAGATAAAGCACAAAGTATTATGAGCACATTTTTCAACTTTCTGGCATCAATAGACAGCAAATGATCACAGAATATGTTGTGTTTCAGGGGCCCCTTTGAAGGAGTCGTTTCATTGTGCAGACGTTATAAATATAAATGACGAGGAAGGAAACCATGGCCTTACAGAAGACTTTAATATTTTTTAAATGAAATTGACTGAAACTGCTTATCGTTGTTGTTGTTGTTGTCGTCTTCGTTGTTGTTGTTTTTGTTGTCATTTCATCCCTTTGCAGGTAGATTGATCAGGACACTGAGTGGAATATACAAGTTTTCACTGGAGTCATAGAAGATTCTCAGAAGTAAAGAGCCACTCTGAAGGCCAAGACCCACCTGAGGCTCAGTGGCTTTATCTCTCTCATGGACTTCATTAGTCTTCAGTCCATTGGGAAGAAGAGACATTTTAAATGAAACCCAAGGAGAGGGAATAGCTTGTGGAAGGTTCCTGTAGCTGAAAAGAAAGTAGAACAGGAGGACATTGGAGAAGACCAGAAGACCAGAACACTGACACAAACATGGAAAGAGAGCCATTGGCTGAGATCTGTGATATGGGCACAGGGGAGACCCTGCAGGGACAGCATCCTGGTTTGTTGTTTAGATTTTTGTTTGTTGGATTATCATCATCATCATCATTATCATCAAGAATGTTGTTTTGGGTGTTCACTTCAGCAGCACATATACTAAAATTGGAACAATACAGAGATTAGCATCAACCCTGCACAAGGATGACGTGCAAATTCATGAAGCGTTCCATATTTTTTACATCTGAAATGTAAATAAAGTATCCAATAAAAAGTTTAAAAGAAAAAAAGAATGTTGTTTTGGAAAACAAGAGAATGCCATACACAAGGCCCTGGATTCCTTTTCCAACACACACACACACATACACACACACACACGAATGCATGCACACCTGCACATAGAAATACATGCACACACATACCCTACTTATACATATGTACCACATATACACGTGCACATATACAATAACAATGTGCACATATGGAAGCACACTCTACACACATGTACAAATGTACACATGAGTACATTCATGCACATGAATATACTATATACACATATGTTCCATGTAACCATGTGAACACATACACTAACACTTGAACATATGAATGCACACAGTAAACACACATGTACATGTGTACATATGAATATACATGCACATGAATATACTATATACACACATGTTCCATTTACATATGCATACACTATACATACACATGCACATACTAATACATGCATGTACATACATACAGTACATGCACATAAGTACAGTGTACACACATGCACAAATTCCACATACACAGGCATACACATATCTTAATTCTTAGAAGTTGTTGAAGGCTGTAATGGAATAAAAGTTACATGTTGTATGTTTCTTTGGATTCAGGAGTGGGTTTATAGAGGGAAAGAGAACTGTACAGGGATGGGTTCAAGGAGTGATTAGGAGCTTGTAGTTACAGATCAGACAATCTAAAATAGGACGGTGGGGATATCAGTGAGAATGGTGATGAGGAAAGGTGCATATAGATGAATCCTATAGTATTTCAGAAAACCACAAGGCTCATATTTGAGGTTGAGTGGAGGGAATGAGGGAGAAGACATTTAGTCTCTTGATTTGCCTTAGTGATTGATGACACCATTCTCTGAGGAAAAGACCCCTGGAGGAAGACCAGTTTTCATAGGAGGGTTATGTCGGGGCATGCTGAACCTCAAATTCATTTTCAAGTCAGTGGCTATATATGCAAGGCAGCATTATGAAGGGTTTGAAGTTTTCAGCACTATCTGGGGAATTATTTCTTCTTTTAAATCAGAATACAAAAGTTTTATTTGAAGCCACAGGTGTAGATGAGATTTCTACGCAGGAAAATTAAAAGAGAAAGCAAAATGGAGTGCTTTGTTTCTACCGTGGACCATTAAAATGCAAGAGGAGAAGAGAGAAACAGAGAAGGATTTGGCAGCAAAAAAAGAAGGGGAAAAATTGAGGATAAAACCCAAATGTAGCATTTCCCAAGTGATGCTGTGACAGGGCTTGAGGATTAATCCCTATATTCCTCTGATTTTTCCTCACTTTTACAGAGTTAATGAGATCCCTTAGTGACAAATAAGAGGCAAGAAGAAAAAGAAAACCCTTTTGTTTATCAGGAACAAGAAAATATGTTTTAATTTAACCATTCTTAAGTTGCCTTTAGGAGGAGCCAAACACCAGTCTAAACTGCAAAGGGCCTGTTGTGATCAGCTGTTCTCTACTCCGGGTTACTCCTGAATCCTGTAAAGTAAAATGGGCTTCAGGCTGTGCACTGCCCTAGGAGACCTCACTGGCAAGCAGATTACAGCTCCAATTTGAGAGGAAACAATGACAGTAGGCCCTGGGTGGGCCCTGAGTCTTCACCATCTGTCAGGCACCACCTATCCACCACAGGCTGATAAATGACTTATTCCCGGGCACAAAACAGGAGCCACCCTATGAGTTTATTGACTTTGGGCATACATGGCCAAATTATAGTCATATCATGGAAAACAGTCCGAGGACTCATCAGACACACCAGGTAGAGCAGTGGTTCTCAAGCATCCTAATGCTGCAACCTTTAATACAGTGACCCACCTCAACCATAAAATTACTTCATTGCTACTTTAAAACTAATTTTGCTACTGTCACGACTCATAATGTAAATACCTGATATATAGGATATCTAATGCATGACATAAAGGGGTCATGACCCACAGATTGAGAACTGCTGAGGTAGAGGAAAGGGTGTATGTAGCTCCTTCATGTAGACCCCATAAGTGATGAACACCTAAAACTTCCATAGCATGGTCTTATGCCAACGTATCATCTGATACCCACTGTGGGCCTCAAGGACCAAGCAAGACTCTCCTACCCATTTTGGTACTCTGCCATTAAAGCAGCCTACTTAACCACCTGCCCTTGGACCTGACCTGACCCATTTCTTACTCCAGCTTTCATCTGACTGCTGAACTTCCCTCTCAATCCCGACTCCTGCTGCTCCAGTACATCATCAATCCAGACCTTTTCTCTCTCCACTTCTGAGACCTCTTAAACTCCACTGCTGCCTCCTTTTAAGTTGTATCCATTATGTAATCTACATGTATGTATATATGCGTGCACACACACACATCTACCATGTGCTATGTGGTGTGTGATATGTGTTAATATTAGCAATTAAGACTGAAATAAAGTACTTGGATTCTCCTTAGCCAGGCAACCAAGCCAGGTAGAGTTTAAGACAAATCATCATTACTGAAATGGCCAGTACCATGAATGTATTGTTTTTAAATAAATTCTGAAAGACTCAAATAGTTCCTCTATGTTTGTGGCATTGCGTTTTGAGTATGGGACCATGCAATGTGAATATCACACATCCCTGTCCTAGTTTAAGCCACACACAGGTATGCTCCCTCCTTCCCAGACTTTCCTGCACTTCCCCTCTCAGATGTTAACGTACCTGTCTTCAAATGGTGGCACAACCTTTTGCCAGCTTGCCTCTGAGTTACCTAAAAATATGAGACTTTGCTGCTTCCCCTTCAACTCCTTTCACATTCAACTGAGTCCTTGAGAGGAAAAGCTAAAAGTTCACCTGGCGATGTGCTTCTCAAGATTCTAGAGTCTTCACATTACAATGAAAGACTACCTTCTCCACCAGTCATAGAACTGGAGCCAACTTTTGACCATTTGTACATCTTAAACATCTAGGATAGTCTTTTTATAAATATTCCCTGAAGCAAAATTTTATTATTTGGAGGGGAAGCAAACAAACACAGTTGAAAGGATTAGGGCTGGCGTACAGAGGGGGTCACCTTTATCTCTTAGATGCTACAGCAGGAATCAACCAACATTTTATGTGGAGAATAGATGGTAAGCTGAACCGTTGTGGCTCTATGGTCTCAGTTTCAATGACTATGGTAAAACCACTGGGGGTGGGGTGGGCGGTGTGCATCAGTGAATCAGCATATCTCAGGTCCCATTAGACTTTAGTTTACAGACATTGAAATTGGGCTTCCATATAATTCTGACATGAAATTGTATTGTTAATTTGTTTTTAAATTTTGTTTATTATTGTTACTAGTGATGGTGGTGGTGGTGGTAGTGGTGGTGGTGGTGGCAGTAGTAGTAGTAGCAGCAGCAGCAGCAGTAGACGACAATGTAAATGCACTAGTCAGGACAGCACACATATGACAACCTGAATAAAGAAGTCAAGGAACGACTGTCAGGAGTCAGTTTTCTCCTTCCACTGAGAGACCCAGGAAGGAAACTCAAGTCCTTTGGGTTTATAAGAGAAGTGGTTTGATCCCAATGAACCCAGGGTTGTTCTTATTTTTGCCCCTCCCATCCATGTAAACAGGTAAAAGAGAGCAGGACTAGTGAGTTCCACATAAATATAGTAGGGTGACCATCAAGGCAGGGTTTCACCTTAGCTATATCACCCTCTTCTAGACTATCCCCAAAACTAATTTGAAAAATTAAATTCCAGTTGTTCAAAATGAAAAATTTAAACTTTATAGGGCCAAACTACTGGGAAATACTAGAGTTTAGTCCCGCCAACAGCCTACCTTAAGGCAGTCCTAGTGGTGAGTACCACTCAGGAATGGCTATTTGCTTGAGGATGATAAGACCGAATGGTGACAGTTCAGATAAGGCTCCCAACTGCAGATTCTCACAACTCAAGCTGAAGCTGAATCAGAACTGTTGTCAGGAGAGATGCTGTCAGTCAATCTGTGTTGCAAAAACTAGCACAGAGCTGTGATTGTTGCAGCAGATGTTTGAAATGTAATTATAAGCACTTAGAGCCATTTTGAGAGGGAATTTAGCACATGAAGTTCTTCTTTTGGTATCAGCCTGCAAAATCAATATGAATTTTTGAATTGCATATTGAATGCTCAGGAGCTCTTAGCCTGAAATGACCTTGGACCAATATTATCTAGCAGCCATATTCTACTGCAACATTTTTATTTTTACAGTGTTTTCACTCTTTGGCTTTGTCCCAGGCTACCTGCTATATATTTAAGTAAAGAGAATATGCAAATTTCTTCTGCCTAGTTTATACGCAAGATGGGCTGATGCCTGCCTTTTAAAATCAACATTAATTCTCTACAGCATGCATTCTTATATAAAACCAATTTGTTCTGATGATCTGGAACCAATTCTTCTCCTATTTCATATTTTCATTATTTTCTTGTTTTGAAATATGGGTCAAAGGGCAATCTTCTACAGGGGTAATTCTGCCATATCACCAGCCAGAAAACAGATATTTAAAGTCCCCAAGACTTTGATAGTAATATACTATATTAATCAGCTCAGGCAAGCATAACAAAATAAACATATAGACTAGGTGGCCTAAACAATAAAAAAATACATGTTTTGTTTTGTTTCAGTAACGAATTTAAAATCAAATGCCAGTACATTGGTGTCTTCCTGTGGCTCCAACAGCTGGCTGCTGCCTCCTCAGTGTGTTCTCACATGGAAGAAAGAAAGGAAGAGGTGAGGAGGAGAAATGGAAAGAGGGAGGAATGGAAGGGATGGAGAGAGAGGGAGAAAGAGACAAAGGGAGAGAGGGAGAGAAAGAGGGAGAGAAATGAAAGAAGGGAGGGAGGGAGAGAGTGGGAGAGAGAGAAGGAGGGAGGGAGAGGGTGGGAGAGAGAGCAGGAAGGAGGGAGAGGGTGGGAGAGAGAGAAGAAGGGAGGGTTGGAGAGGGAGGAAAGGAAGGAGAGAGAGAGGAGGCAGGG